GATTGTCGGGAAAGAGATGGCTGTTTGAGGAAACTCCCATTTATTAACATTTCAACAAACCAGTTGCATATTTGCATAACGTATTCAAGTGTTACCATTTAGTGCAATAGTAGCTACAGAACATGTACTGTGCTGTGTAAACTGTACTGTATCACATAGCGTTTCAGACACACAAACTTTTCAACTTTCAAACTTAAACGGTGCGCTCCCAGCGCACGTACCGGCAGTGATCTACAGCAGTGGTTTTCAACCAGTGGTACGGGGAGAAACTGTCTCGCTCTCGTAATGTCTGTCTGTCTTGCTCTCGTTCTCGTTCTGTCTCTCGTACCACTCTCGGTTCCACTTTTACTTTTGCGCGCTACCTGTCTCACTCTTTTCCGGCCTCCAGCTTTTCCTGCTGGAACCCGCCGCTTAAAAGTTGGGGGTCCGCGGACCGGCCATAGAGCCCATAGAGTTAAAGGTGTTGGCCGTTAGCTGTAAAAATCCATAGATTAGCCGCACCGTTATATAAGCCGCAGCGTCGAAAAATGGGGGAAAAGGCGCGGCTTATAGTCCGAAAATTACGGTACTCTTTAACATTATACTCAAAGGGCCAGTAAATATCACCCCGGGGCCGGATTTGGTCCGCGGGCCGCCAATTGAATAGCCCTGCAGTACACAATACACAATTCAAAGTACAACTATAAAAGGCGCGGTCCCACTTAGTCTTTAGCCTGGTCCGGGGCACCCTTAGGAGGCTTTGCTCAGAGGATCTCAGGGCCCGGGTTGTCCTGTGAGGGTGGATAAGGTCGTTAATGGAGGCTGGGGCTTGGCCATGGACAGCTCTATATGTAAAAACCAATACCTTGAATTGGGTTCTGAGATGGACGGGGAGCCAGTGCAGAAAGGATTGGAGTGATGCTACATGATGAACCATCCAGATCTCCCAGGTCTTCAGGTCTGCTTTCTGTCCCCTGAACTAAACATGGAGAAGTTCAGTTATTATGCTCCAAACATCTGGAGCAAACAAATGTTTTAGCTGCACTATTTCTTAATGCTCTTCATGTCTTTCATTGTTGTAAAGCACTTTGAATTGCCTTGCCTAATCCATTTGCTAAGTTTATACTACATATTTAAACACCCTTTTCTCTCTGTCCTCCCCAGGCGGTGTTCGACCTGACGTGGGAGATGCTTCAGGAGATTTACAACGAGGAACCGAGCTCCGATCAGCCTCAGTGGGTCAAACCACGGAGAGTCAGATCCTCCTTCTTCCACAGAGTCAAAAGCTCAGGGGACCTCAACAAGATCCAGGTGGGACACCCAACACCAACACGGAGGGACACAGAAACACCCTGACTATTTAAAGTTATCTTCAAACTAACTGGAGGTGTTACCAAGCTGCACGAGAGATACTTCACCTCTGTTTTATGCAAATGTCCTGGATTGCAGTCATAAAGTCGTGATAGTCTTGATATACATGTAAATGCAGTAACACCTTTCACACACCTGATGACTGTGTTTTTATTCCAGGAGTTCATCTCAGCAGAGGTCCTGAAAGTGTACGGTCTGAGTAAAGATCACAGCCTGAAGACCGACTGGCAGAAGATGCTCAAGTTTGGCAAAAAGAAGCGAGACCGAGTCGATCACATTCTGGTACGTCTCACCATTAAACTGTTATGCTTCATATCAAGGGTTAAATCTTTACGTCAGCAGAACAGAAGTACAGCAGATGTTTGAACACACTCCAGATCATGCTCATGTATTCCTTATTAAATCTTCCTTTACAATACCTCGGATAGCTAGTCTTTACCTCAGTGTCAGTGGCGAGCCGTGACTTTTATACCTAGGCCCCCTGACCCCCCCCTTCCCTCAAAAAAAAGTTATTACGTCACAGCGTGTACTTCAGCGGAATATCAAAACAACGGACCGGGGTTCAAAACGCATCAATGACAGCGACCCTCTACCACACAGAACAACACCATTGATATAAACACCTATCAGGACAGGGCTCCCACAGCCAAGTAACAATTAAACATGAATGAAGTCGGCACGGCGGCCCACATTGAAAATGACTTAGGCCTACCTCTGATGATCAGATCACTGAAACACAAAGCCCATCCTCCTGTCCTTTTGGATGAAGCACTTGATGGCGGGGTCATGCAGCTGATCCTTTGCCACTCCAGTGTATCATTGTAACTTGAACGCACTTATGCTAATTAGCCACTTCCGCCTAGCTTGACCCGTTGTTGTTGTTGTTATAACACATGCATCAACCTCACAGCGGGCGGAACTTGTCCTAAAGTCAGCGATAATAAAACCCACCCATTTAGAGGGAAGATATGATTGGTCATTTGACATTACTCTCTTGTTCAGTTGCTATAGTGGGCACTCAGCTGGACCACCATCAGCTCCTAGCTTCACTTCGCAGAGACGAGCTTCTTTCATTTAACCCTTCACATTCAAACAGAAACTGAACAGGCAGATTCGAAGGATTTCTTTCTTTCTCAGGCCCTGACGGCTCGCCACCGCTCAGTGTGTCCGTGGCCGTTTCTCAATCGCGAGGATGCTGGCTTGGTAGTCGCATACTTCCAAGTCACTTCCTTCAGAAACGAAGCAAGTATACTTCCAAGCCACGGCTTCGGAAAACAAAGAAGAATGGAACAGGCTAACAAGTGTGCCACCCTCTCTAACGGTTTCAACATAAACTGTACCGAAAATAAATACCTCACGATGTCTATCTAATTATGAACTTGCTTTACTTTCACGGAACACATTTTTGGTGATAACAAATGTAACATATTTACCAACACATGTTCTACGCCACTACAAATTGGTCCGTGCGCAAAGCATTGTGGGGATTTGAAGGATGCGAAGTCTACCCATGTGCAGCTTCAAAATTACCCCCAAACCAAGGACGCGGCCTCGGTGGAATTCCAAGTATGCTGGAGATTGGAACAGTCCTTCGGCGGCACTCGATGACGTAGCATCCTTGAAATATTGGCTTGGAA